TTTTACCTGTAGGTTATAGGAGGCTGTGTTTGAGTAAAGTAAACTCTATTCTTTCATCTATACCTAGTTGTTTGTTGTAAATCTGTTGTTCCTCAGTCATTATTTCTGTTAACTTTACAAGGAAACAGTCGTCACATTTCAAGGAAATAGGAAAATGCATACATTTCTGTGTTAATCCTTGGTGATTATAATGGTACCTAAAATGGTTATGTCAAGGTGGATGAAAATCAATGATTTTTTTAAATAAAACCCACATTTTTAAAAAAAAATTTTAATAAGATTTTTTTATTTAATCATATTTTAAGATGTGTTTTTTATAAAAAGGAAAACCTGTATAAAGATAGTTTTTAATTAAGGTATGTTAAAGCTCAAAAGAGATCATCATGGAACAGGGATTATAACTTCTAATTATATACTACTTGAGACAATATATTAATGTAACATTTTTAGAAAAGTTTTATTAATAGGTCACAACAGTCCATGGACTACATCGGGGGCCCAATCTTATGGGGTTCCCAGATGCTCCTCTATAGATTAGTAAAGATTAAGAAAAACCACTCTACCCAATGGGACTCATTACTCAGACTACAAAAGCCCATCAAGCATCTTTGTGATGCTTAGTTTCAGTTCTCAAACTGTGGATTTGTGTCTCCAGAGATAACATCATTGTGAACAGCAGTATATGGAGATGAGAGATTACCTAACCCATCATCCCTCTTGTCTTTGCAAGTTTGTGTACCCAGAGTCAAGCCCTTACCTCTCTTTAAAAGTGCAAAGTTTCAAGAAATAAGAGTAGAGGTAGAGTAGATCTGGGCAAGGAGGAGGAGTCTGGAAAGAAATGCAAGGAGGGAGGGGCAGTGGAAACAAGAGAGAAATATTTTGAGCAGAATATTCCAGAAGTCTTGAAGGATACATTTCTTGAGTATAGCCGCTATATTGATTTGAGATCTGGTGAGGGAATGGTATGGTAGAAGGGGAAACCTATCATGGCAGCAGGCTTGACAGGCCATAAAAGAGACCCTGCTTGGGAATATTTTAATTAAGGTTATATCAAACCACAAGAAGACACTTTTTGTAGAAAACAATGAGGCTTCCTGACCAGTGATTTAAAGCAAGATTTAAATCAAATCCACCCTGTTACATGTATAGTTTAGAAGGACTGCAGCAAACAGCAACATATTTGAAGAGTCTTCCACTGATGATTATAACTTGGCAGGCAGCTTTCTTTTTAAAATGTTTTAATCTTTGGCTCTTTTAATTAAGACTTTTTTAACAAATCAGAACTCTTGGTTCTTGACAGGACCTGAATGCTGTTTGATTAATTTAAATCAATAAATATTTAAATGGTTACAGTTGATATAACTTCAAGAGATCAGCTGCACATCTAATTACCTGTCTCTTGGTAACTTAGTTTTCCAGTGTTTGGAAAGCTTTCTGGCTAGGTTTTCTGGCTGTTATCCAGAGCATATTTGAGATACAAGGAAATTGCCTTCATCCCTGATTGGCATGTGAGACTAAAGAGTGGACATGGAGCATTTCTGGGAACAGATAGCAATTTTGTGAAGGACAGTCTAATATTTTGTTTTCGTAGCCTATAGAGAAATGGAATACTTTTAATACATTAATTCTGTTATAAAAAATATCATGAAAAATGCCTTGACAGTACTGACCTATAAGGAAAATTCTGTTTTATATTACATTTCATCTTCTTCATGAGGTATATTAACAGGAAGTGAGGCACACGTACAGAACTGTACCTGTGTACAGTTCTGCAGTACCTCACTATGTATAGCAATAACATATTGGCTGGAGCTGCCTGCTGCTACTGCATCTGTCAAGAAGAGCCAGAAAAGGTAGTTCCACTGAAGCAACATAAGAGCCTGGGGTTATGTGCCAAGAAGCACTTTGATTATACACAGATCCTAAACTAGGTTTAAAGCGTAATACAATGTTTAGGGCACTGACTGATATCTGTGGTGCCTGTTACGAAGGGAAGAGGGACACATCTGTCTGCAGAGACCTAGAGAAACTAATGGCAGCAGTAAGGAAAGGAAGGCATCCCACAATGTAAAATATAGTTTTCCCTTTCCACCAAATAGGTTATAGGCTGTTGTAATCCATTGTCTTGAACTGAGTTGCTCTTGATTTTAACACGGTTGTAACTTAAAGGATAATAAAGTTCATAATCATGAAGTTAATTAGGCCACCATTATTTTGCAACAAGATTGTGGCAAGTTCCATTCTGACATCTCACAGAAAAATGATTCAAAAGTAATTTCTTGGGTCAATTCCCATTATAGATCATAAACACCCCTAATATCTTCCAAAAAAAAAAAAGAAATTGAGGAATGTTTGAAGAAGCAGTTTGCATATTATTACAAAGCTTAAACAAAATGTCTGTAGTCCTGCTGTAAAAGTAACAGATCTAAATAAATCTTACTGCTTAATGATAAATGCTTTATTTGTATTGTTATTACACCACTGTTGAAATATCCAAAAGTAAAATAATTTCAGGTGTTAGGAGAGTATGTATCTGGTTTGTTTTGTTTCGGTTTTGGTTTTGTTTAATCAGTAGTACAGAAGCGTTCTATACATAGCCTTGGTTCACTGAATCCAGTGGAGTTGAAAAATGGTTCCATTAAATAAATAAATATTCCCCTTCCATTTTTTAGCATCTTCTAACTAATGGAAGGAGGGAGGATGGCCCTGGGGAAAGGTACCAGCTTGGTACCAGTGAGACTCGCGTTCTGTTTCCTGCACGGTCACTGATATCCTGTGTGACTGTGATCCAGTTGCTTGGGGCCAGATTCTGTTCCACTCATTGAGCATCGAAGTGAACTTAGTCACTTAGGTATGATTCTTTCCAGTTTGCCCAAGTCCTGAAAATCCATTAATGCATCTTTTTTTGTACCCCAGCATCATCATACCATTAAGGCACAGTCACAAAAAGCAGCAAGTACAGAGTGTGCTGGGCAAAAACTGTACTAATACACTACTGTGCAGTAGTATTAGGCTATTGTGCAGTAAGCGTAACTAAAAACCTGTGCGGTGGTACAACTACACATTGATTTAGTACTTGGTTATCCAAGGACTAAACTTAATGTGCAGTAACTATGGCACTAATGAAGACACACCCAGTAAGCTGTACCAAATTACTCACAATGTGCCATTCCTCTAATATCATTTACACCAACATTTTATTAGTATGAAGGACATGGAATGAAAGAACAGCTAATTGTCAATTATTTACAGAAAATTTTTCAAGACCTTCAATTATCCTTGGCTTAACTTAAGCCACTACCATGCATGTTCACCGGCTGTTCCCAGAGCGTGGAGATCGATAGGATGGCCTCATCGTAGAGGGATGTCTCCAGTGGGGTCCCCCAGGGATCGGTGCTCAGACCAGTGCTATTCAATATGTTCATTAACAACTTGGATGAAAGGGTAGAAAGTACAATGATTAAGTTTGCAGATGATACCAAGCTGTGGGGGAATGTAGGCACACCAGAGGATAGGGCAAAGATCCAGGAGGATCTTGACAGACTGGACTTATGAGCAGAACAAAATCAGATGAGGTTGAACAGGGAGAAATGCAAGGTCCTTCACCTGGGTAGGAAGAACCCTCACCACAACTATACAGTGGGTGGTGGCTTACTGGTTGGCACAACATCTGAACAATGTTCTGGGCATTGCACCCCAAGAAGGACATGGATAAGCTTGAGAGGGTACAAAGAAGGGCCACCCATTTGATTAAGGACATAGAGGGTAGGCCCTATGAGGAGAGACTTTGGGAACTGGGCCTGTTCATCCTTAGGAAGAGAAGGCTAAAAGATGACTTGATAACTGCCTACAAGTACCTCGGGGGGAGCATCAAGAACTAGGAGAGCAACTATTCAGGAGGGAATCTCAAGGGAGGATGAGGACCAATGGGCACAAACTAACAGAGGGTAAATTCAGGTTGGATATAAGGAAAAACTTCTCTGTAAGGGTCACCAGACTCTGGAACTCACTCCCAGCAGAGATGGTGCAGTTGCCCTCCTTGGAGGTATTCAAGACAAAGCTGGACAGGTACCTTGCTGAGCTCATCTGAGCCTAATACTTCCTTCCCATGGCAGGGAACCAGACTCTATGATCGTACAGGTCCCTTCCAGTTCTGTGATGCTATGCATGTGTAAAATGTGTTGTAGTTTCAAGTATTTAGCTGGCAAGTATTGTTAAGTAGCAAACAAGCTATTTTAAAAATAAGAATAAAAAATAGCAGCTTCATCCTTTCATTCCCTATATCTCACTTTATACAGTCATAGTCTGTGTTCTGGTGTAAGATGCAGCATGTAAAAAGTCTGGGAAACAAAATTAAACACTCAAAAAGTAGTGTTGGAATTGCTGGTTCATTTGTGTATGGGAAGGTGAAAGAAGACCCACCAAATAACTATAACACATCCAGTACCCCAAACAATTTGCTATAGTGGTATATGATTTATTGGAGAACTTTGAATCCTTTGGGGCTTCTATTAAGGAAAAATCGTTGAGAATTTTTAGATTGAGTTAGGTTTTATATTAAGATGTTAATACCTTCACATCAGTGGTGAAATTGTATGATTTGAAGAATGGGAGTTAGGGTGTCAGATACGACTTATTCTTCAGTGAATGCCTAGTTTAGGCCATGTTTCTTGCTGCAGTGTCCCAAAGACCCTCATGATTGTTTGTACTAGAACTGATTTCTTAACCTTTCTCAGCTATCCCGGTGAAGTCAGTCCTCTGTATTCTAACTCCCCAGTCTTGTGTGATATTGTTGCCTCATGTTGTTCTATGCTAGTTTTCATAAAATGGGCAGGAAGTAAACTGTATGACCATCACAGACTGGGGGAGAACAGAAATAGAGAGCACCAAAGTACCTGTAGAAGGGCATGAATGCCTTTTAACTTTTCTATGGCTCTTGAGGCAAGATAGAGAAGTATGCCTACTTACCGGTACTCTTAGAAAAGAGGGCACTTCACATGTTGGGCATTCCTCTCCTGTTCCAGCTAAATTCCTGTTGCTTTATTTCAAGTTGGCACCAAGGAACCAGCTCTGATTCATTCACCAATGTCATATAATTTATCTCCTTCCAGGAGAGTGAGGATACTGCTCTCTGATGCTTTTATAAATGTTTGTGTCAAAGAATTGCATGCCCTACCCATCGTCCATTGTAAAGTCAGGCAGAAGTTAGGGGAGAGTGGCATCTTGGAGACTAATTGGCTCAGATAGGCATAAGTTTTTGTAGGCAACAACCTGCTTCATCAGATACAATGAAGTTATAGCCTAAGAATGCAAGCATGAACATCACTCCTAGAATAAACTAAACATTTTGTAAGAAGAATTGTTTTCATCTTCCTTTCTCTTTGTTATATTGCCTCTTCAGTTTGTCTTCACATGGGAGTTACCATGTGTTTTTAAATATGACTGAGGCTAGGTACAGAAATTACACACAAACTGGTAAAAGTAATTGGAAACTGTTCTAAACATGTAACAGAACAGAAATTTAGTGTACATAGACTGGTTTAAAATGGCAGAACTCAGTTTAAGATAGGCCTGGATGGATGTAGTTATCAGATTTTATCAGTTTAGGTTAGACTGGTCTGTTGAACTTGTCAGAGATCCTTTCCCAACTCAAGTTAAGTTGCAGCCTCCCAGCATTTCAGGCACCATTGGAGCCCCTGCTAACCTCCCTCTCGCAGGGTAGGTAGATTAGCCTCTGCCCATGCTCATCTTCTCCAGCTGAGCCAGGCTGGGCTAGCCCTGCCCCTGAGCTCTCAGAGCTGAGGCAGCAAAGCCTCTGCTTCCCAGCCTTGTGTCCTTCCTGCACCTGTCAGGTGGGTGGGGCAGTGAGGGGGAGGGTAGGCGAACATACTCTCTGCCCCTGACTCTAGTCTGGGGGGTCTGCACAGCTGGAGGACCACATGGCAGGGGCTTTTCCCCCATCACTGCATAGCTCCACCCCTTGTGAGTTGCTGCCTTTGAGAGTGGGGGGGGGCTGGGGCCATGATGAGGATGAGCTCCCTTCTGCCCCACCTCCTCCCCCCACACCTCTCAAAGGCTGCAACTAGTCAGGGGTAGACCTATGCAGCCTAGCCATCCAGCTAGCCCAGCCAGGCAGGGGCAGCAGTGGGGGAAAAGCCACTGTTGTGTGGGCCACCTCAGCTTTTCTGGCTGGGTCTGGAGAGGCCAAGTCCATGCAGTGGGGGCCTCTGCTTTTCCCCCTCCTCCCCTTGCTCTGGCAGGGCTGAGGGCAGATTCTATGCTGGCTTCCCCCACTTCCTGCAGCTGGGCACCCAATCAGGGAAGGCTTAAGTTCAGCAGGGCTTGGCTGCCCTTCACAATGCCTGGCAGGTGGGGAGGTGTGCACCCCCCATCTTTTGACTTCAGCCAGTGCACGCATGTGCCTGCCTCCCCCCACCATGAAGGGTGAACATGGGTTCTGTTCACTCACAATCCAATCTACATAGCTTAGAGAAACCTGCATAGATTGGTTCGATTCTGCCTCAGGCTTTTTGAATGTTTATGTATAGCCTGAGGAATTAAATTAGCTGACCCTGATAAACCAGCCATTCTAGGGTAAATCATATGCAGCATTCTCAGTTAATAGGACTTGAACTCTTCCAGGAACTTGGTTAAAAAACTGTTAACTTATCCCAAGATTAACATGATTTGCTGAGGACAGGTCAGTAGAGCGCTGTATGGTACTGCACAACTTAATCTGTAGACACTAAAATCATGTAGTGTAGACCACACTGCTTCTGCATTTATATTGTTGCTGTTGCTGTTATCATTCTTTGCTAGTGGGTATCTGATTATTATTTTACCCCCTATTGGCAGGATATAACATGTTGCCTGTAGTTATGATGAACTATGTTATCACTACAAGATAAACTTTTGGAATTGTCTAGACTTTCCAAAGTTTAATTATTTGCAACTTTGGTATTCCCCTAACTTTTTTGTCCTTTCAGGGATTGATATATATTTAACTAGCATAATATAGTTTTAGTGTTCCTATACTATGCAGGGGACATCAAAACACTGTGGCATGCCCATTCGGGGTCAGAGAAAGCTGTTTATCCTTCTTAAATGTTATAGACCATTAATTTTCCTGCTACTGGAATAGAAGGTCCATCTGCACTTTGGGCCCTAAGCCAAGTCCCTACATCTTAGCAGAAGACACAGCTGTTTTATGGCATGAGAGCAACAAAATCAGTCATTCATAACATGATCATAACACGATCAAGTGTGTAACTTGAATATTTACTCTGAATGATCTCTTCTAGTTCAATCATTAAAAGCCTGCTCAGTGTTTTTTTTCTCTTCTTACTGGAAGAATTTGCATATTCAGGATACAAAGCTTTCAGAAGAAGGAAATAGAATTGCTCTGACTCTTAGGAAAAAAAAAAAAAAATAGGGGGAGGCCTAGTGACCAAGCACAACAAAAAGTAAGAGTAGTCAGTATTGAAGGCTCATTTCATTAACTCTTTGTATCCTTCAAAAAATATTCAGAGAACATATATTTTTTTTCTGACAAAAAAGATAAGGATAGCAAAACAATTTCCCTGGATCAGTATCGTAATGTGTTATGGGTGAGCAGGGCACTAGTCCTAGGCATCAATTCAGAGAGGCTACCAGAATGGCAGCCCCCAGGGTGCCCACACTGCTGCTGCCACACCATGTTGATGGAGCTTGCACTGAGACATCACATCCCACACTGTACCCACAATTACAGCAGCCCCTCTGTCAGGAGGTAAGCACTTGCTCCTCAGTCCCCCACCTTGCCCAGGGTGCCAAAAATTCAAGTTTTGTGTCTGATACTTATTTGTATTTATTCTTGATTCTCCCACCATACATATCTGTTACTCATTCTTGTGGCATCTTTCCAATATGCACTTATCAGCAGGTATCCCATAGCTGACTGGTAAGTAGACAGCTGGAGAGCTTCAAAGCAGTGCAGGATATTTACATACCCATTCCATTAAATCTAACAGCAGTAGAAGATGTGCAACTAATTCTTGTGTCTTGTACATATCCTCCTCACCTCAGAACAGAAGTAACTGCATATGGAAATCTGTAGGTTCATCCGGTCTAAACACAGCATATCTACACTAGCAACTTTCTTTCTTGCCTATAAAAATTTTAAAAAAGACCTGAAAACCTTGGAAGAACGTGTTTTTTCACTCATAGAAAAATAACATCTACTTAAGCAGTGTTTTTCTTAATCAGAAGATAAAAGAAATTTTCAAGGGAAGACAGAATAGTTAAACAGACACCAGTAATGAAGTGATTTGCCTGGTGTCATCAGTAGGCAAGAGGCAAATCCAAGCCGAGAAGCTGGTTCTCCTAAACCCTAGTTTCCTGCTCTACCTATGTAGCCATTATATTCTAATGCACAAGACATAGGGCCACCCACTGTTACTGAATCTTTTGTCTTCTCTTCAGTATTACATCTCACGCCTTGATCCCACCTCCTGATGCTTTGGCATACTTATACATTGAAACCGGCCAAAGACGGAACATGTAACAGCTGGAAACCTGCTTAAGCTGAAAATTTTCTGTGCTCCCAGCTTGAAGGCTGCCTTGTCCCTGCTCCTGCTGGACTAGAAACTTCTTTTAAAATGCAGTTTAATTTGGCTAGAAAAGCTAAAGAGCACATTCCAAGACACCTGCATAGTCAATGATCATATTCTGCTTTTTTTTCCAGTCTCCCTCGTATATATTTGCACCACTATTTTTCATGTCTTATAAAGCAGTGGTTTCCAATCTTTTTCCGTACCAGGACCCATTTGTAAACATCAATGGCCGGTCCCAACCCAATAAATAGTTAAAGTAGAAAACAACCCCCTGGCTTCTTTGGTGCTCCTCATTCCCAACCTGTTGCCCCCTGCCTGCAGGCCCCAGCCCCCACAGTGTGTGGCAGGGGTGAATGTATGGGGTAAGGGGGTGTGGAGCATGGGGGGACATGTCCATCCACAGTAGGTGTGGGGATGCAGTGTAGTTGAACCAGCATGGGCAGGATCTGCCTCCATGGCCTAGTGGGCGGGACATGGTGCAGGAAGGTAAAGCAGGACAGTGAAACTCATTGCTACTGGAACCCCCACACCAGCCGGGCCTCCAGCAGCACAAGGTGTACCAAGGCAGGGGGATCTGACACATCATCTATGCCCCCTCTGTGTCCCCCCACCCTGCCCCATAGACTTACTTGCAGGAAGCTGTGGGAGCTGATCTTCATACTGTCTGGCTGCCACACGCATGTGTGTATGCATGCATGCATGTGGCACCCCATGTCTTATCTCCCTCCTACCACTTCCCACAGCCCCTTGCAGACTGGAACTCTCAACCATTTCCCATATTTTTCTCCTTTCAAGGAGAATTCATTTTTAAAGACTGTTAATCCATTTTTTAAAGGTTGTTCACAACCCTTTCATATATTCTTGTGACCTACTTTTGGGTCATAATGCATGGGTTGAGAAACACTGCTGTAAAGCAAATGGTTAGCTGACATTCCCCTCAAGTTAGTGATTTGATTTTTTTTTTAAGCAGCCCTTTGTAAAATTGTTGCCATCATGATCTGATTTAGCTTCCCTTACTACTGTCTTCACTCTGATCAGCTTCCAGTAATGAAGGAAACAAGTGCTTAATATTTCTTGTGTATAACCCACTCTCTTAGGTTTCTTGCAGAGAATATTCACCAGTATAGGGTTTTTCAACTCAAACTGCCTAAAAGCTAAGTGAACTTTACATTTGGCACAAAAAACAGGATGATTAAAAACATGAGTCTTTGGCCTTGTACAGACAGTTTCTCCTGGGAGAGTCATTGCTCTCCCAGGAGAAACCATAAGTGTACAGATGTTCAGGCTTTTTCTCCTGCGGTAAAAATGGCTGCTTCAGGATAAAAATTATTTGGGAACAATCAGAGTTAGTTTCTTCTGGGAGAGTGAATGTCTGTATATGCCACGGCTTCTTTCAGAAGAGAACATCATCCTCCAGCATCCCTCTCTCCCACCCTCATCACCCCGCCCTAAGAGACGGTGTGTTACTTGCTGGACTCTGCTGCTTCAGCAGAGAACAGAACACACCCTTTCACAATCCCTACATTGTGCTGCAGGGAAACAGGTTGACTATGAGCAGTCTGGGTTGAACTAGGCACTGTGAGCAATCAGGGCTGAACTAGGCTCTGTTGCTGTCTGTTTCCAGGCGGACTAAGGAAGCCTAAAGAGCTTGCTAAGATGTGTGCGCAGCTTTGTTCCTACAAGAGCAAGTTCCATAGTCTTAGACCTGCCCCCATGAAGCCTCAGTATCCTGCCCAAGCAGACAGTTTTTGCAGTAGATTATTCTATTGTACTAGATGTCTAAGTCTCTGTCTGAATCAATTCTTTGAGTCTACTCAGCCAAATCACTTGGCATCTGAACATTACTAGAGTTTAAACATCTGGTGGCATTCTATGGAAAACCAGCAAAGCAAATCGGGTATTGGGCCTGTGCATTCAGAGTAAGAGGAGGCAAGCTGCTGCATTCTGCACCACTTGGAGTTTTTTGATGGCTTTCTCACAAGGCTCAGCATAGACTACTTAGTATTCCCAAGGTTGTAATGGTAATTAACTAGGGAATGTACTAATGCATGAAGGCCAGCTTTTACCAGTGCAGGACACAGTCTCCTAGATTCTTGGAGGAGAATAAATATATTGTAAGTACATTACCATGTCAGCACTTGCAAGAAGTCCAGAAGCACCCCTAAACTTCATGGGTGTGATTATGCTTCTCTGTCTAGTGAAGACTATATCAGAGCTGTCAGTTTTTGTGAACATTTATTTTTTTCAGTTGTCTTGCTGTACTTTAACATCCATTGACTCCATCTTATACATGTACAAATCCTAGGCACTGGATAACTTGAATGTCAGTGGCATTATTATTATTATGTGAAGAAAATTGTCATATGTATACTGACATGAAAATCCATGAAGTTTGGCGATTTCACCTATTAGCAGCAGGTAACTAGTGAATATATTTACATTAAGCCCAGTGAAACTTTGCAAAGGAGATGTCTGAGAAATAACTTCCCATTACTGCTCACGAGGTGCACTCTTTCAGGAGAGATTCAAATCAATTAAATGCATGGACCCTAGTCATTAATATTATGGGGCACAACAGTACAAGGAGGTTATATAATAAAGTTAACTGACTGATTCACACTCTAGTGCATTTAGAATCTGTGGGTTACATTAGCCTGCTAATACACAAATAAAAATACCATTGCTTCTAAACTTCATATGTGAAAGCTACTATTGCTAGCTTTAATTAGAATTGTTTTGAAGACAGTGCTTGTCAGGTAAATATTCTTTTTCTCTTTTTTTTAATGCAGACTTGGATTATCACTTGCTTTTATCTTCAGCTGCTCCTACTTAATCCACTTGTCAGAGCTCAGCGTCGCTGTGAGAATCCAGTGACAGATGATGTGAATGACATTCCAAAATTGGTAAGTGGCTTTTTTTTAAATTTCTTCTTTAAATATTAAGCAATGGTAAGTATCTAAAGAAACCATGATATTAAGAAAATGAAATTAAGTAAACATTTTGATTAGAGCTAATTGGGAATTTTTTGACAAAACATTTTGATATATTGAAACCAAAACTACTTTTTGTGGTGAACAGGGGAGCAATTCCAAAAAGCTGGTGGTTTGCACAGATTAGAAACCAAATTCAAGTCTCTGCCAGAACAAGAAGTGTATTCCTTTGTTTTAATTTAAAATGTCAAAAAACCTCTTCTTGACACATCAACAGCTTTTGTGGGATGAAAAAGTGGTTTCCCATCCAGCTTTAAGTTTTATACTTTTTGGGTGCTTGTACATGCCACGGCATTTAATCCTTATTAATTTAACAAGCTTTAAAAATTTTACATTTGGTTATTTTGGTGCATTACGTTTGTTTGCGTGCCATGAGCTTTTGAATGAAGGACTGTGTGCAATGCCCTAAAAATTCCAGCAGGGGGAGCCAAATACCAATCTACCCCCTTGCCTAATAAATTACAGCCAGAGGCCCATGTTCACAAGTAAACAGGCCTCCATAGTCCCTGCCCCTCACCAGGAGCTTCATGCTAAGCTTCCCTCCCTGCACTTGCACCCACCTAGGCTCGGTCCAGTGTCCAGGAGGCAATTCTGTGGTGATCCCGACGCCAGGCTGAGTGTATCATTCACTCCTCTCCCTTTCCCATTTCCCCACGGGTCTTTGGTTTAAATGGGAATTAGATTGGTCATTGAAAGTTACTAGACTTTGCTGGAATAAATTATTCACAATTTCTGAAGAAAACTTGTCCATAAAAGTCACTTTACATAAGACGCTTTTGTGTCTTAGCAGACAGTTACTAATGATTGAATAGACCTTTTTCACTCCCAGATATGATCCTGGTCACAAGGGAGGTATAACTAAAAAGTAGCAGCCATGAAGAATAATGTTTACTACCTTTCTGAATCTATCTTCTGGTTAAGCAGGACTTCATTCTCAAAGGCTGCCATTTTATTAGAAATTAATTACATTAAACATAAAAATAATCTATATTTAATTATTATTCACAAATTCAATATTTAGCTAAGGATATATAGAGGGCAGAATTCTGTTTTCCTTTGTGTTGTTGCCCTGAGGGGTCAGGCCAACACTCAGGATCTCAATATTGCGCTGTTAGGCAGGAGGGTGTGGTGTACAATTGGACATATACAAACACACAAATCAATTAGGTGCATATACATACACACTATGAGCTCAGGCACATACACATCCAAACCAGCCTAGACACATGCATACCTATCACCAATTCAAGCACATACACTATGCACCCCAAAAGTTAGACACAGATCACTAATTCATATGTCATGCACACAGTGCCATATATACACACACATACACACATACACACACACACACACACTAGCAACTCAGATATACATATGTTCAAAATAACCAGTCTAGGTTCATCAACACCTATCACCAGTTTAAGCCCATACACGCTACACACACCAAATTTAGACAGAATCAGTTACCAACACCTGCACATCCAATACACATACGTGGATTACTATTTCATATACCACACACACAATGATATCTATATATGTGTATTCACTAATTCACACACATACCACCCACCTATGTGTACACACAATGAGTTCCTAAGTTGGGCGTTGTGACATGTATGTATGTATGTATGTATGTGCTTGGTGTACTTGGGATACCTGGGGAAAGGTTAAGGTAAGAAAGTAGAAGTATAGGAAGTGAAAGTTGCTGGGTGTCAAAGTCACCAGGACCGGGATTAGAACTGATAGACTAGAGGAGCCTGGGCTGAAGAACTGAGGCTGTGGGGTAACTTTTGGTTAACTGATCTTAATTGATTAAAAGACAACGCCCAAAGCCTACAGAACAGGGGAGCACAGAGGCTGGGACTGGAGCCAGAGCTACATGGGAGCTGAAAAGGTAGGTGGGGAGAGGTAAAATGGGACTAAGGGAAAATGTGGGTGTTAAAGAGGGGCTCTGGGTGTGGGGAGCCAGAGGATGGCTCCAGGGCAGCAAGAGAAGTTGCAGGTGCTGGGAGCTGGAGAAAGGCTCCAGCTGCTGGGGAAAACTTCAGGACAGCCACAAGGAGCTGGGAAGCTGCAGGGGCTGAGGGGTGGGGGGGAGGCGGGGATGACTACAGAACGTGCTGGGATGCCTGAAAACAGAGACAGGCAAACAGCAGAAAATCACAGGAAAAGTGGCAGGAGAGACTGAAAGCTGGCAGGGCAGTGGGCAAGCAGAAAAAGGCAGCAGAAAGTCACAGGGGAAAGGCAGTAGATGGCATGGGAGGCTGAAAGGCAGCAGGAACAGCATGAAAGCAAGGGGAGGCTAAAAGGTGGCAGAAAAGGGGAGATGGAATTTGGAGGAGATTGGGAAACTAGCAGGAGGGGGGCTGGAGCTGAGAGAGAGAGAGAGAGAGAACAAGGCTGGAATTTAAGATTGGGAAGAGACTGGGATTCAGTAAAACATGACCCAACTCGCGGTTGCAAATGACAGTGGTTTTATTGAACAGGGGAGATGGTGACACAATGCCAAATTGGTTCCCTTGCACACACACACACACCCACACAATGGCAGCAGGAGTTAGAGAGGTTTGGTGCAGGAGCTGAAGTCCAGGAGGAGAGAGAGAGTCCAAATTGTAGGAGGAAGTGTGCAGGTAATATCTACCTGTCCAGGCTGGAAAGGGGTCCTTGTCCGGTAGAAGTTGTCCAGAGGGGGGTCACTGGCAGGGCCTCTGGGTGGATAGGTGGTATGGCATGGTGCTGGTCCAGATGGAGAGAACGTCCCACTGGGTCTGTCTTCACTGCCCCTTTTTATAGGGGCAGTCCTTGTGTGACCCTAGTGACAGGAGGCATGCCCAGGCAAGGGTCAGCCCCTGGCGTACTGAGCACATGTGCTCCATGCAGGGATGTGCAGTTTTGGGTATCTGTAATGGTGAGAGTTGCTGATTCTGCAGGGTCTTTTGTCTTTCAAATGCTGGGTTTTTGTCTCTGTTCCTGGGTGAGGTCCATGGTTCCTGGGTGAATCAATGCGAGGTGATGGCCCAGTCATTACAGGCCATTCAGTAGAAGCCTGCTACCATTGTATTTCAAGCATTCCCAATCATTCTCATTCATTGGGGAACCAATTTACATGGGAGGGGTACAATGAATCATAATGTTGCAACATGGAATACTCAGGCAGAGGACACAAGATGGAGGCTTGACATATAAAATGGATACTTGACATGACTTTGGTTCACTTACAAACACAGGCCTAAACCATACTATATCCATATGAAATAATAAAATAAATACAAAAATGATAATAATACAATATACAACAGTAAGAATCGATACAAACCTAATAATAATACAATATAAAACAGTCGATATCCAAAACCAAAAACTTGCTACCAAAATAAAAATGTTTAAAGCTTATCCTAAGTCTCAGCTCACTTACACTTATCTATAGGGAATAGAGTGGGAGAGAAAAAGTCACAAATGGTTGGGGAAGGGGAGGGAATGCATTTTAAAATAAAAGAAAAAAAGAAAAACTGGGGGTTTTGCTACAGTGTATCTACAGGACAGTTTTCAATGTATAGACCCAGGATGCACAGTTTGCTATGTACTTGCTGGTGCAGGTCCAGAGTTATGTCCACAGGCCCATTCTGGACATGTACATTATGAAAATGTAGCCAGGCTGAAACCCATGATTTTACAGGTGTTAGATACTAGAATAAGAGGAAGGCAGCCCTCCTTTCTTTTTAGCTCCAACAGCTAAGGGGTTATGCCACTTGCCCAGAAAGTGGGAGACATGGGTTCTATCCCCCTGTCTGAGGAGATTGAACCTGCATCTCTGACTTCCCAGTCCAGTCCTCTGTCAGTCCTACTGCCAGACTGTCAACACTGCCCTTCCTTTTTTGCCTGTGGAGTTGAGGAAGAAAGGCAGAGTCTATGGGATTCTGCAGGATCTATGGATCTTCTGTCCCTGTGCACATATAACAAGAACTGAAATGATTCAAAATAGTACCTCATTTCAAGCAGTACTATTTTGAAGCTTTCAGCTGCTTTTTGGAATATTTCAAAGGGTGTGTATGTTTGTATAGTGGCTCTTGGAAACATTTTAAAGGTATTTAAAATAATTTAGTTGTTACTTCTGTTCACACCCAAAGGCAGTGTCAGAAACATCAGATTAGACTCCAGTGTCGCATTGATTTCACTTGGTGTCAGCACATCACAGATGACCTAATTTTTTTTTCTTTGGACATTTTTATATTAATCAGGCACAAAGTGTATTCCTTTATTTACTTTCCTGTAATCCTTTATAACTGTCCCCTTCAACCTAATTCCAAATTATTGACGTGTTGATTCAGGATAATAGTTCATCTGTTCAAAGAACATTTTGCTTTGTTTTCACAATTTTGTAAGAGTGACTTTAAACAGCAGAACTGATTATGGGGGCTAGGCACAATAAGAGATTTTTTGGATGACAGCCAACACCAGTTTTTATGAATTGTCATGTATTTTCAGATGGAGCAAATGTTTTTCGTCTTGCAGTATAATATGTGGCTTAAAATTGATAAAAGTGTACATGATTATGTGAATAAATGTGTGTGCAGGGGAACATACATTCTGCTTTTCCTGCTAGTACTCATCTTAAAAGGAAATCTTAAGATAAAAAAAATCACCCTGCTTTTTTAAAATGTAAATCCATTACAAATAATGCCTTAAGGCTATATCCTGGAGATATATGGATAGGGTGCCTGTGTCTAAGAAATGGGTAGGTGCCTGTGTCTAACCAACAGATGGAATTTAACCTCTATTATTATAGAGAAACATTTCTTCCCCCTATTCTCAATTTCTCTAATTTGCTTAACTGTACATAGTCTTCAAAATTTTCAGTTTCATCATGCCATCTGGACATTTAGATGTCTGTAATTAGCTACACAGGT